AAAATAGGCACTGCCGTCTACTGCACGATGGACATTCAGATCGCCTGACGTCGTCATTCGCAGGAGTAGGCCACATTTGTGTGTGCTGGCGTCAAGAAGCCCACATATGCGTACTCGCAAATGATTCGTGCAGGGTGACACTTGCACGGAGAGCAATCATCGCCTCCCAAGTGGCACGCTAACGCTGCAGATCACTCTTGCAAATTAGGTTTCTCGTGCGTTCTTCAGCTCTTATTTGGCTAAATAAAATACCGAGGAAAGATTTTGAATTCTGACAGGAAAGATTTTGAATTCTGAAAGCAAATGCCACTGGTGTGGTTGGTTCATGACCAACGCGACACAGCCTCGTAGCAGTCGATAGCACCTGTTATGCACGATTAGTGGTCGCTCATCCAAGCACTATCCTGGCATTCAGGCTTAACCCTGCCGGGTTGGCGTGCGATTGCCTCGTGGCGGCGTGAGCACACAACAGCAGCCACCATTCGCCACTAAGGGGCCGTACATAAATGACGTCACGCGATTTTGGACGATTTTTTACCTCCCCCCCCCCCTTCGTCACACGGCGTCACAAAAAGTCAGACCTCCCCCCCTCAAATATGACGTCACAAAGCTCTGCCCCCCCCCCTCCCCAAAAAACATGCTTCAAATCGCTTTAAACTATTGCCATTGTAGTGCGTTTTTAATGTGGCGCTGCACTCTGATGATGTAGGAGAAAACATTGATTAAAAAGTCTATTTAATTAAGTAGAACTTGTCTATATTTGAAGTTGTGCATTTGATGTGACGTCACATTTCTCACCCCCCCCCCTCGTCACACATCGTCACAAATGTCTGACCCCCCCCCCCAGGTGCGTGACGTCATTTATGGACGCCCCCTAAGTGACTGTGACGTCAACACAGAGGTCGTACCAGGCTCGGTGCACTTTTGAGGCCACGTGAGGTGTCCAAGGTTCACTGGCACGTCACGGGTGGGTTTATAGGGGGGCAGGGGAATGGGGCTATTGGGCAATAATGACCGGAAGCACCAAACAAAGTTTTACGACTTCACGATTTTGCCACGCACGTGCTGCTGTGTGCTTGCACGTTGCCATTCGTGAACACAGAACACATGCGACAGCACGCCACGTGACCGCGAGGGGGGCGGGGCGGTGAATTAGGGGGTGGAGCTAGCCCCCCGCCCCCAATACAGCCTCGCCCCCTTTCATTCAGACCACGCCCACAAAATATCCGCCCGTTTTCAAATCGAAACCGCGCGCCCCTTCGATCTTTCTTCGTCTTTTATTTGGGCATTTTGGGGGGATTGCAACAGATTACAAATTGATGTCGAGATTTTGATATCCATTCAACTGCTTCAGGAGTAGCCGCGTGGATTTGTTTCATATCGCCGTTGAATAATCTAATTGGGTGGGTCGGTCACTGCACTATACACGGCTCCACCACTAACATGCCTCTCTCTGCCACGTGTCGCCGTGTGTTCTGGAGCACGCTGCACGCTGGTCGCCGCTGTGTCTACACTATAAGGCTACACAACTTCATGAGACCTCCTTTGTCAGTATTAAATTATGATAGTAGGGTTTTCCCCTTTCTGGCAAAGGAGGTCTAATGATGTAGATGCCTACCCCGAGCCCTCATTACTTTGATAGTGCATCGTCTTTGAGCTGTACGCCTTTTGGCGTCCTCTAGTCTAGCACCAATTGAGACGAGGCTCAAAAGAAAGCCGTCTCTGGTGTGGACCAATCAGTTTCAAGGACAATGCATCATATTATCATAGTGTGTTTTTTTGTGTGCATTTTTACCACAAGTATTCTGGTTAATGCACACACGATTCCTTGTAAAAAGGTTTCAGTTTTGTTGCCAGAAAAAAGGGGAAAACCCCTATTATAATAATAAAACAGGTGTTAAGAGGTTAAAACAAAAATTAAGCCTTTGCAAGGAATCATGTCTGCATTAACCACATATACTTGTGGTGAACATGCAAAAAAACATGCTCTGATAGTCTTTGCATTGTCTTTGAAACGTATTGGTCCACAGCTTTCTTAGGAGCTTAGTCTCATACAGTGTTAAACCAGAGGACGCCAAAAGGCGAACAGTACAAAGACAATGCCACTATCAGGATATTGAGAGCTCGGGGTGAGCAGCTACAGCATGAGACCTCCTTTGCCAGTATTACGACTACACTATACACTACACAATTGTACACTACACTAGACACTGCACTACACAACTATACACTACTATAAACTACACGACTATACACTAATACGTTATGCACTTCACGACTATACACTACTACACTATATACTATGCTATACACTACTACAATATACACTACGTTATACACTACACACTACTACACTATACATGGTAACTCCGCCCTTCGTTTTAAGGAGACCACGCCCAGTTTGTTGGTCGAAGCCCCGCCCTGTTTCCACAGAAACCTCGCCCCGTGCCATTGTGGCAACAGATAAAATAATAAAACAACTTAAACACATTTCGTCAAAAAGACTGCCTTGAAAATAAACCTATATACGTAGTAGGCTACGTTTCGGGGCAAACAACCAACTCTTCCTTATAGCTTGTAAAAACGAATACATTTCCCGGAACGTCGGCCAATTATATCATTTTAAGGCCACACTTTGATTGACGTAATTATTGAGGTTATTTTGTTGTTCCAGGGACTCCTCTACTTACAAACGAGTTAGGTTCCAGAGGTCTGTTCGTAAGGGGCCGTCTATAAATGACGTCACGCACCTGGGGGGGGGGGGGGGTCAGACATTTGTAACGAGGGAGTTTGAGAAATGTGACGTCACATCAAAATGCGCAACTTTAAATAAATATAGACAACACGTTCTGCGTAATTAAATAGACTTTTTCATAAATGTTTTCTCCTACAACATCAGAGTGCAGCGCCACATTAAATACGCACTACAATGACAATAGTTTAAGGCGATTTGAAGCATGTTTTTTTCTTTGGGGGGGGGGGGGGGAGACAGAGCTTTGTGACGTCCTTTTTGAGGGGGGGGGGTCTGACTTTTTGTGACGAGGGGGGGTCAAAAATCATCCAAAATCGCGTGACGTCATTTATGGACGGCCCCTAAGTAGATGTGTTCGTAAAGTTCAACTACTCCTGCCGTCGATTCCAAACATGTTGTACGGCATGTACACTAAAGACGGGAATGGCTTTAAAGTAGTTGTATAATCATCCGTAGATGTCGATGCCGCCGGTTCTTCGAGTTCTGCAGATACAGATACCACCGCCGTCATCGATTGCGCGGCGGTTGAACTTACGACTCTCGGTCCGAACAGGCAACTGGACATACGGACAGGGTTTGTTCATATCTGTGAAAATTCGTACGTCGAATGTTGTTAGGTAAAGGGACTCCTGTACTTGTGCAAGTTCGTAAGTCGACAGTTCGTAAGTAGAGGAGTCCCTGCACTTGTGCAAGTTCGTAAGTCGAGTGTTCGTAAGTCGCGGAGTCCGTGTAATTGTGCTTCTTGCACCACTGTCAACGCTTCAGCAGCAGCAGCGGCGGGCGGCATCATCAGATTAAAGCGTTTCGTGCAGGCCACAGCGCGTCCCCATGGCAACCAACCCTCTCCAAACCGTCATTTACATAAACCCCGCCCAGTATTTCAAAGCCTCCGCCCCCTTGACATCGAGGCCACGCCCCTCTCCCCTCCCACTTCTTCCTCTCCCGTGGCACCCCACTCCTCCTCCTCCTCCTTCGAGGTCCGTCCCCTGCGTCTCCCCGACCACTCGCGGCTCCGTGTAGCCCGGCCCGCCGTTGTTGCCCGGCTCGGTAGGGCCCGGCTGGGCTTTGCCGGAGCCGCTGTCCTCGCCCGTGTGCCGCCGCAGCCGCCGCTGCCTAGGACGGGCAAGCAGACAGGGGTGGGGAGGGGACGACAGACGGGACAGACGAGGCAGGCGAGATCGACACTCGCGCATGCGGGTGCGGGAAGACTGCCGCGAGAGACGCACACTCGCACGCACTCACTCACTCAGGCAGGAACACAAGGGCAAGGCAGTGGTGGCGTAGGGGGTGGGGGTAAGATTTGGACAGAAAGACACACACACGGACAGACAGGCAGACAACACTCACTTTGTCAAGGTACATTGACGACATTCGACAAGGCAGTTGTTGGCTTGTACGCACGCACGCACCCAATCAAGCAGCCGGACAGGCAGGCAGGAAAGCAGGCAGGTTTACACCAGGCACACGACTCGAGCAGATAGAGACACGCGTGGCAGGAGGCAGGAAGAGAGAGAGAGAGATAGGTCGGAAGAAGGACAGGAAGACGTGTTCTGACAGGCAGGCAAGATCGTTTAGATAAGGCACTCGCAACAAGATATCAAGTTCGCGGGATCATCAGTGAGACAGGTGAACGGGTACTGTACTGTACAGGCGGGCAGCTATCACACACTGGCAGGCACTGGGACACACAGCCAGGCACTGGGACACACAGCCAGGCACTCTGACACACAGCCAGGCACTCTGACACACAGCCAGGCACTCGGATACACAGCCAGGCACTCGGACACACAGCCAGGCACTCGGACACACAGCCAGGCACTCTGACACACAGCCAGGCAGTCGGACACACAGCCAGCCACTCGGACACAGCCAGACACTCGGACACACAGCCAGGCACTCTGACACACAGCCAGGCAGTCGGACACACAGCCAGGCACTCTGACACATAGCCAGGCAGTCGGACACACAGCCAGCCACTCGGACACACAGCCAGGCACTCTGACACACAGCCAGGCACTCTGACACACAGCCAGGCACTCTGATACACAGCCAGGCACTCGGATACACAGCCAGGCACTCGGACACACAGCCAGGCACTCGGACACACAGCCAGGCACTCTGACACACAGCCAGGCAGTCGGACACACAGCCAGCCACTCGGACACACAGCCAGGCACTCTGACACACAGCCAGGCAGTCGGACACACAGCCAGCCACTCGGACACACAGCCAGGCACTCTGACACATAGCCAGGCACTCTGACACACAGCCAGGCACTCTGACACACAGCCAGGCACTCGGACACACAGCCAGGCACTCTGACACACAGCCAGGCACTCGGACACACAGCCAGGCACTCTGACACACAGCTAGGCACTCTGACACACAGCCAGGCACTCTGACACACAGCCAGGCACTCTGACACACAGGCACTTTGAGACAGGCACAGAGAGAGAGGAAGTATAACACGCCATGGAGTTTGGCAATCACTGCGGTTGCTTAAGCCTTCTACAGTAGTAGTGTGCAGTGCTATACATCGGTGCAAATACACAGCAGCAGTTGAGTAAAATATAGCTTGTCAGAACATTGCACTGCTGTTCTTGTGCAATGCCATAGTCACGATACAATACTGTAGTGGTAAATGTAGTAAGCAGTTATTCGCGTACTCTAGATCGAAATTGGCATTTTAAGCACATTGAGTTCCATTGGATAATATATTCGTTTTGTAACGGAGGTAGTGCGTGAATACACGGGGAGTCGCACAGCTACCGAGGGAGATCGACGGAGTCGCACACGGACAGAGAGAGATTTAAAAGCAGCAAGTCTGTGAGCACGCAGAGATACACAGCCACTGTAGGGGAAACGTGGCAGGCAAGAGGGGTTGCGCACACACACACAACTACAAGGCGGCAAGAGCCATCATGTTCTCCAAGAAGACCCACGGAGATGCCAAGAAGTCTGCACAGAAGTTGCTGGACATCAAGAAGGACGCGATGACCCGACTCAAGCACCTGCGGGTCGTATTGGCAGGTGAGGAGTGGTCCAGTCCACGTGCATGAACATAGGCGAGATCCCCTGGCCCAGACTATGTTTATTACAAATGTGAGGTTCAGTGGTCCAGTCAATGTTTATTCCATTGGGATGTCTCGCAGTCCAATCTATTATTACAAAGGTAAATCCGATAGTCCAGTCCATGTCTATTCCTTTGGTATGTCTTGTAGTTAAACATATATTACGTAGGTAAATACAGTAATCCAGTCCATGTGTTTTCCGTTGATGTCTAATAGTCCAATATGTATATTACATAGGTATAGGTAATATAGTTGTCCAGTCCATATTTATTACATTGGTAAGTCTAGTTCATGTGCATGTCACAGTTACCTCCAACTCCTTGACAAGTGTAGTCTCGATTTAAAGCTTTCGTGACTGCAGTAATTCATATTCTTAGTTTTTTCGGTAAAGTCACGTTGAAGAGAAACAACAAAATAACAAAATATATATAAAACAATAAAAAATTCTCACGTTTCGACCATAACTCAAACGGTCGAAACGTCGTGAGAATTTTTTATTGTTTTATATATATTTTGTTATTTTGTTGTTTCTCTTCAACGTGACTTTACCGAAAAAACTAAGAATAAGTGTAGTCTCGTTGAGATAAACCTACATTTAAATGCTTAATACATATTCTTGGTTCTTTTGGTAAAGTCACGTAGATAGAAAAATAATAATGAAATAAAAATAAATAAATTTAAAATTTTAATAGTAAAAGCAAAAAAAAAACAATATAAAATTAAAATAGTAAAATAAACTAAAAAAATAAAAATAAATTGAAAATAATAAAAGCAAAAATCCCACGACGTTTCGATCGCAACACAAGCGGTCTTCATCAGGCGGAGATGAAGACCGTCAGTGAACCTCACCTAACTTGTGTTCACTGACAGATACACTGTCCATTATACTGAGCAGCACACATGGTGGTATACTGCCAGGAAGCATTAAAGCAGTACACTGACCTATATCCTAACTCGTAGACTTGTAAGTATAGAGTACTAGCAGGTACATTGATTGATAGGTGCATTGGCCAGTTTTCTGGCAGGTAGACTGGTCGGTGTGCTGTGACTGGTAACTTGATGCTACTTTTTGGCAGCTACAGTGACCAGTATATGTGAAGGAACACACGCCAGTGTACTATATACTTGCAATATTCCAACAGATATTCTGACAGGTACATTTTCTTATATACTTATAGATATACTAAATTATATATTCGTACTTACACTTGCTGGTACTTTTACCGGCAGGTATACTGCTAGGTACACGTGTTTGCATATTGTTTGTTATACTGGCCGGTGCATTGCCAGATGTTCACATCTACCTTTTTCATGGGACCTCCTTTGCCAAGACCAGGTTTTCCCCTTTTTATGGCAATAAAACAGGTGTTAAGATGTTAACACATCAAACTGAAACCTTTTACAGGAAATCATGTCTGCATTAACCACAATGCTTGTGGTCAGAATGCAAACAAAAAACATCCTCTGATTATATGCATTGTCTTTGAAACTGATTGTTCCACACCAGAGACAGCTTTATTTTGAGCCTAGTCTCAAAACGGTGCTAGACCAGAGGACGCCAACATATGAGAATAGGTTTTCCCCCTTTTTCTGGCAACAAAACAGGTGTTAAGATGTTAAAACACCAAACTGAAACCTTTTACAAGGAATCATCTTTGCATTAACCACAATACTTGTGGTCAGAATGCAAAAAAATACTCTAATAATATATGCATTGTCTTTGAAACTGATTGGTCCACACCAGAGACAATGCATATATTATCATATATTACATCTTATATATTATCAGAGTTTGTTTACATTCTGACCACAAGTATTGTGGTTAATACAGACATGATTTCTTGTAAAGATTTCAGTTTGGTATTTTAACATCTTAACACCTGTTTTGTTGCCATCAAAAAGGGGAAAACCTATTTTTATATTTTGGTACTGGCAAAGGAGGTCCCATGATGTAGCTGCACACCCCGAGCCCTCATTACTCTGATAGTGCATTGTCTTTGTGCTATATACGTCTTTTGGCGTCCTCTGGTCTAACACCGTTTGAGACGAGGCTTGAAAGAAAGCTGTCTCTGGTGTGGACCAATCAGTTTCAAAGACAATGCAAATACTATCAGTGTTTTTTGTTTGCATTCTGACCACAAGTATTGTGGTTAATGCAGACATGATTCCTTATTAAGAGTTTCAGTTTGGTGTTTTACCATCTTAACACCTGTTTTGTTGCCAGAAAAAATGGAAAAACCTGTTCTCACCTACCTGTTTATCGGCTGCTTTACTGGCTGGTAAGTAACCAGATCCGTGGTCCTAGTGGCTGGGTCCACAGTTCAACCAGGCAGGTGCAGAGGGGGTGGTCAGCAATCACATGTTAAAGGTGAGAAGTTAGGGATCACACGGTTGGTCAGTTTACCGGAATAAGTTGACTTATTCCAAGTTGACTTATTCCAAGTTGACTTATTCTGGTAAGTTGTGTGACTTCTCTGCATATGTAATTTGTGGCGTTTTTTTTGTTATTCGAGGCATCTGAAGGGAATGCATGCCTTGTTACCCGATGGGAATGGACTAATGAGCAACTCAACTCTAGCACAATTTTGGCTCTGTGCCATTGTGGGTCTTCCCTACTGCAGGCCCCAAGTAGTTATTGTGCTTGTCGACACGTGAATCGACAGCTCAACTCCTGCCTCCTCTGCTTGTAATTCATCCTGGGATTTACAAAAGCTTGTCCCACCTACTCTATAGTGAATGCACAGTTCAGCCACCCGTGATTAAACTGGGGGTTTCAAGTGTATAGTGAGCTGATGGTCTCAGCCTGATCATGAATGGGCTCAATGAAAAAAAATAACTTTAACTTTTTTTGGCACTCAATTTGGGATGTTTTCCCAGCTCCCGATAATAATTAAACAACACCTTAGTTTGACTGCCGTGGGAAGAACCACCTCTGCAGCAGGACCTGCGAGTACCATACTTTAGGTCATGACACCATCAAGTCCAGAAGATAGGATGCAATTCAAGGAACCTCAAAAAATGATGTCCTGTTTCCAAATCGTATTTTAGCGGTATTGATCACTGCGAAAAAACACTAGTTTATGAAATTGAGCAAGCATAGGACCACAGATATTGTGGCAATTGGTGGTGCCGGTTCTGGCCGTCTTTCCGCTTTCTGTGGTTTCCCATGAAATCTGCGTGCGTTAAAAAAACGTCTACATCCTTTTGACATGCAATTTTTTTTTTAATGAATGATGTTAAATTAGCAAAGTTTGAAAGACGAAGTGGCATTGCTTGAAAGAGAATGTCTTCGAGATGACGCAGCAATTACCTACACCTATATTGAGCAATGTGGGATGGTGCCGTGGTTTAATGGTTGGCATACTGAATGTACAATTCAGAGGTTTGCAGTTCAATCTCCCGGCACGGCAGTTGAAGCAATGGGAAAGTTTCTTAAATCCCTTCCAGGCACTGACCCCCAGAAGTTAGTCAATCGGCAGGTCACGTGTGTAAGTTACAGTATCAGTTATCTTACCTTTTCCAAGGCTTCTGGCCAGCATAGAAGAGTAGGTCAAATACAGCCTGAGAGGGGCACTCTAGAATTCCCTCTCTAAAGTTCCATTTAGTGGAGACCCTTCTACCAGCAGTGGTGTCCATAAGCTATTTCAAGGCTGCACCTTTGAAACTTTATATTGTGTAGTGTGTTTACAGTGCATATGCCTTTTAAAATGTATACGCGGTTCAGCGCACTTATTGATGGAATGTCCTCTCACGCATTTAGATTAAATGATAGATGCTGTCGAGTGAACAACACAGTTGTGTAACAGCGCAGCGTACATTTTTACAAAGATTCGCTGTAGCACCACAAGTTGGATTAGGGTTCGGATTGATTGGCACGTGTACGGCAATGTTGCTGGCAACGTTGCTGGCAAGCAAGTTGCTTCGGCTGCCAGTTAGAAATTAGGATTGATTGCATGATGCCTCTTAAAAATATGATCGGCAATTTCGTGGGTGCTCCTTCAACCCAAGGGCATCGCGCCATGCGTGCCAATGCTATTGCAGTCGGTGTTTTTACATTCGTACTTGTTGCGTAACAATGCCATTCATAACGCCGGAATTATGGTCACAAAGTGATGTGCTACTGAACCGTGCAAATTGCATTTTATTTGGTTATGCCTCCTTGGTAGGAAGTATGTGGGGGGTTTTTGTAAGTTCGAGATTGTTAATGTGTTATCTAAAATGTAATTCCGTTTAATAAGTAACACAATTATAACGGAAGACGCTGTCCCTTGGAATGTTAAGATTTTTGCAAGCGCTGAACTTCTGCATTGATTTTAACATTGGCATGGCTCTCGGTCTTTACACATTAATCAGAATGGCTTACTTGTTCACCGAGGCTCACCGTGGCCAATATAGTTTAGTTCAGATAGCCTATATATATAAAGAACCGTAGTGGTCTGCTGGTGAGGGTACATAAGGAGGTTGACTATGAACTTCAGACTGTGGCTGAAGTAAATCAGTCTGGGTTTTGTGGTCCAGAATTCCAATTCAACGTGGCCTGGCAGGAGTTTTGTGGCAAACACAATCCATTGACAACAACGTTGTGGGGCATAAAGCGAGCGATTCACGTATTGCTTAAACATCACGTGCCTTTGTCCTCTGCTCTTTGTGGTTAGCGTGAAATGTAATTTGCTTACACATTTCCTGATCCCCAGTCAACAAGGCATATGTGGTTGTGGTGAAGAGAAAAAAAGCCCTAATGCTTTTGCAGTAACTTTTATTGCATTAGGGCAGTTTGCCAAATGGCTATAATTTGAATAGTTTTGTTGTTTATGTGCTTGTTTAATTACGCCTTAAATGACTCAGAGCAAGCTGAAAGAAGTTTAAATATGATATTCATATGCCGCGTAATTTGATGGAGCACTGATCAAAGGGGATTATTGAAACCCCCGCTTGCCTTATCAGTAGACCACACGTAAA